CTACGAGTTGGCAGTTTCGACTGGGACAGTGACAGACATCCTCCAGCAATCGACATTTAACCTCTTGGGAAATGAGAAAACCACTCATACACTTGAGTTTTTCTCATAGTACTGTACTTATAACCTGTGTTCAACATCATGACAGTTTCTGCGGCATTTTTTTCTGAGCAGGAAACAAAATTTCCCAGCCACACACTTAAACTGGCCATCACAAAAAATAAAGCTTTCACTGTGACCAGAGAGAACTTTCCCAGGCAATGTCACCTACAGTGAATTGCTCAATGCTGGCCTAGCAGGAAAAATGCCGGCTATGAAAGCTACACCCAGTGGAGCTTTTTTCCATTTGGGGGTGGCCCCCAGTCTATCTCAGATGTCTTTGGGGTTCACCCTCTTGAAGTTGTGTTTTGTTTTTCTGTTTTTCAGTAAATGAACACAAGGATTGATGAACCCATAGGGACAGCAAGTAGAATAAGGTTTTGGGGGGGGGGGTTTGGAAGGGGTGCTAACAGGGTTGGTGGTGGGAGTGGGGGGAGTAAAAAGGAGTTCAGGAGTCAAGGAGTTCAGGAAGAAAATGTATGTTTGGAAACTGTGAAATCAAATGTACAATTCTGCTTGATGTGTTTGAACTATGGAATATGATATATGTATTAACTCCCAATTAATAATAAATTATATATTTCGAGAAACAGGTTTGGGGCTCACACTAAATCCTAGTTCCAACTTAAGAAAAAATAATTCTTACATCATGGCCCTGCTCTATACTCGCCTTTAGGAAGGGAAGATAGAAGATGCATGTGCTATAGCTAAATGTGGTGAAGAAATTAAATGGTCCCCTTCTATCAGATAAAATAGTGTCTGGGTCTTAAAGCTTGTCTCCAAACAAGCAACCATCTACGTGAGATGTCAACTAAGTCCACATAGAAGAAGCACACAATCATCAGTCACCCTAGGATTGTAAATCATATCATCTGAAGTCGAAGGAGGGATGCGTATCAGAGCCTACATTCTAAGAATCCAGTTTGCAGAAGGCTATGGATGACAGAGAGAGCCCAAGATTCATTTGTGGGAACTACATAGGGAATGAACCTCCGATGAACTCCCTCTATCCACAATGGAGGAATGGGAGGAAAGTGGTTACTAAACAGAATGCATTGGGCAATGAATACAGAATATCAAAGGCATAGACTTTGTCATTTGATCCCCCCTCTGATGGATAATGGATGTGATCTGGTTTTCAACATTATCTGTATTTTTTGGTTGTTCGTATTGGCTTGTATCTCTAAGGTATTATGTCATTGGAGGTCACCCTCTTGAAGTTGTGTTATATGTTTTTCTGTGTTTCAGTATTTGAAACCCAGAATTGATGAAGCTATAGGGACAGCAAGTCAAATAAGGGTTTTGAGGAGTGGGAGGATGTACCATGGTGGGGGGTTGCAAAATGGAGATGACGTCAAGGAGTCCAGGGGAAAAAAGAATGTTTGGAAACTGATAGTGGTAGCAGCTGTATAATACGACTTGACATAATTAAAGTATGGAATGACATGATATGTGAATTAACTCCCCAATAATTATTTCTTTAAAGAGAAGAGTTGTATAATTATCACCATGATCAATTTTAGAATATTTTCTTCCTTCTTGTACTCATTGTTATATGCGCTCCTTTTGCCCCCAACTTCCCCTGCCACACCATCAAGGAATCATTAATTCACTTACTATCTCTATAGATTTACCTATCCTGGATTTTATATACAGAAACACATTTTTAAAAACTAACAACAATAACAAAGTAAAAAGATAAAAATCTCAACAGAAAAGGAAGCAAAAATATTAAAAACTAGAATAAATTCTAAATGGGTCAAAAGGGAGATCAAATGGCCAGCTGTTAAATTTCAACTTAACTGCATCTGCAAGAATCCACTTTCCAATGCTCTCTGCATGATAGCAAGGTTATTCACATCCCCGCTCAGAAGGGATTCATCGGGGGCTTAACCCATGTGTATTTTCTTTTCCTTTTCTTTTTTTAAACTGAAACCACTTTAGATTTGGTCAAAAGGGAGATCAAATGATATTTCACTGTAAGCTAACTACTCCTGCCATAATCGACTTTACAATGATCTCTGTATCATGGTTATTCATATCCCTCAACTATGGTCAGAGGGGATTCACTAGAGGAATCGATGGGTGGAGCCTGCAAATGGATTTTGGGCTTCCAATGTCATCCAAAGCCTTCTGTATACCAGGTGTTCTGATACCATTTTAAGTTCTGATACCATTCCTCCTTTCATATTTGGATTTTATTATTTCAAATCCTTGGATACACAGGCTAGTGTGCTTCTTCCATGTGGTCGTAGTTGATGCCTCACGTGGATGGCTCCTTGTTTGATGAAACGATTTTAGGACCCCATACACTATTATTTCTCATAGTTGGGCACCATCTAGTTTCTTCACCACACTTTGCTATAGTAGTGATCTCTGCATATGGATGGGCATCAGACAGGGCTATGTTATAAGAATTAATTGTTCTTAGAATTAAATGTGATCCCCACAAGTATACATATTTTTTATACAGTAGATTTTTCCCTATACTATTTATGTGATGAGTTGCTAACCACAAGGTCACCAGTGAAAAACCACTAACTGTTCCGCAGGATAAAGATGAGGATTCCTGATTCTGCAAAGATTTATAGCCTGGGAAACCTAAAGGGACAGTTCTCTTCTGTCCTGTAGGGTTGCTGTGAGTCAGAACGGACTCAATGGCAGGGACTTTGGTTTTCGAGTGAGTACAGAAATGCCTAACACTTTGTTTGGTTGTCCATCGGGTCACTAGCATTTGGCATAAACTCAATGGCACCTTAAATATCAGTTATAGCTCATTAGAAATGGAAAGAGACAGGAAACGTCTCTGTTCTATTCCATAAGAAAAGATCTATAAGAATTATAGAAATAAACTTAACCAGATAAAAATAAGGCCTCTAGAATCTAGCCTCCACTGATCATTCAGTTGTTTTGGGTTATTGTGGCAGTTGCTCCTACCCATGATGACCTGATGTCAACATGGTCTGATCCTGTGCCACCTTGGTTGTTATTCATAGGATTGAGTCTGTTGTTTTCATGATACTATCAATCCATCTCATTGAACGTTTCCCTTATTTTTGGTGAATGGGTCTGAAGCACAAGTCTAGCCATCCTCTGTTCTCTGAAGCACGCTGGTTGTTATTTCTTCTAAGACAAATGTGTTCCTTCTTCTGGCAGTCCACGGTATATTCCATTTTCTTCACCAACACCACAGTTATGATACATCAATGCTGCTGTCTTCTTTCTTCATTGCCAACTTCAGTGCTTCCCCTCAGGATCACTGGAATGATTTGGTGGGGGTAGAAGAAGGTGATGATAAAAGAAGATATCTTCACCTTATCCTATAGCATAATTTTTTTTAATTGCAAGGGGTGACTGAAAAGGTAGACCAAATAAGTTTTGCAACCTAAACTCTAGCTTTTCCAATGCATATGAGGTGACAGAAAAGATCATGGCTTAAATCAGGAATTCCTTAGTCATTAAAGTGACATCTTTGCTGTTTCAATCGTTAAAGAGAAATCTTTAAAGGGGTCTTTTGCAGCCAATTTGCCCAATGCATGAGTTAGTTAATTGTGCCAACCTGACCAATAAACACATGTGGGGCTAATTGAAAGGCAGAGGGATAAATGGGTGGTGAGCCTTGCCTTTCTAGTTCTCGGGTCTCTTGCTTTGTGATGGTCGCCCCAGGGTGCAGCTGCCTTAGCAGTTCCCTGCTTCAGCTTGCAAGATTGACTTCCTACAAGACATCCCCAAGGAGAAGCCACATGGACCTATCCCGATGCAGCCCTGGGTGCTGGAGCAGCCGTGTGGAGACCCCTGCTAGTGCTGAGATGCTTATTCATTCACTGAGTCAGCTTTCCTCCTGCAGTCGGCATCATTGCCTCTGTTTTGTGAGGTGGAAGACTTTATGGACTGGTGTTGGGTTAATGGGTTAATGTTGGACTTGTGGGCTTGGGCAGCATTGGGTTGGGATGTTTTCGTGATGCACACTTTCTTTACATAAAACTCTCTTATACATGAGTTGCTGTGGATTTGTTTCTCTAAAGTCCCCAGACTTATACAATACAACATATCCTTTAATTTCTTGGCTGCTGCTTCCACAGACAGTGATTATTTTTTTAACAGTTTTATTTATTGTATTGTATTGTTTATTTAACAGTTTTATTTTAACAGTTTCATGCGCATGTCATACAATTTAATAATTCCAGCCTATCAAGAAGAGTTGTACAATTATCACCACATTCAATTCTAGAACGTTTTCTTTTTCCTTGTACTCCTTGTTTTTCATGTATTTTTTTCTAATTAATGCAAAAATATACACAATAAAATATTCTCCAGTGCCATGACTTCTATATGTATAATTCCATGCCATTGATAATACTCTTCATGTTGCACAACCATTATTGATATCCTTTTCCAAATTATTCCACCACCATTAACATAAGCCCAATGCCCCTTAAGCAAAACTCTTCTTGGACAGTGATTGTTGATACTGGTGGTAAAGATTATTCTTCTCATACCACGTGTTTCTTCATACATTCATACCTTTGCATATGGCACTCCTTCTATTTGTAATACTCTCCTCCTTTTTCCTTTTGAAAAACTATCTTTTAAAATCCAGATCCAAGTCATGTCTTCCTACCTTTCTCTAAACCCTACACTAAAACCCAATAGGTGATGTCCTTCTGGGGAAGAAGGGAAAAGATTAAGTGAAAGGGGAAAGAGGAGGTGGGAGTTGGAAAGGCAGAGAAAGGAGGGAAGGGAAATATGAGTAAAATTTAAGCAAATGCTAAAAAGCAGATCCTACTGAAGTCTCAAAAAAGACCTCCTTTCTCAAACCAGGTACAGTTTTACAAACAAAACATGCATCTATTCTGCTTTTATCCTCTTCCTACCTCTCATCTTTCGCATCTATTCAATTTCAGATATAGAAGTCAAGGATTCTATGACCATGGAGTCTTCTCGGGGAGGCACAAATCGTCGACAAAGCAGTTTAGATCCCATCTTCCAGGAAAGTATGTTCCCCTCAAGGAAGAGTACTATCATGAGAGAATGGATAACAAAGACACCTGACACCTCTTACGAGCGCAAGCTGAAGACCCTCATGGAAAAGGGCACCGAGCCCAAAATTGAAGCTGTCAAAATGTTGAAGCCAGAGGAGGTACTGAGCTGCAGGTGAGAGGACCCACAGGGCCAGGGAGGAGACAACGCTCACTGTGGCTGCTCCTGGCTCTCTATCTTGGGCTGAAGCCTGGAGGAGTGGGAGGACGGCTGAGACCTGTCCTTGAGTCTGGAGAGGACTCCTCCTGGGTTGGAGCCATTGGGATTCTAAGCAGCCTCCCTATTCATAGACCTCCTCTTGGGCGGGCATGTGCTGCTATTTTAGCTCATCACTGCTTCAATTTATTTCACACTGCAAACCAGGATACCACTCAAGAAGGAAAGGGTAAGTTGTTTATGGCCTTCTTTTAACAGGGAATTCCCCTAAAGTACATGTTGACTATGGTGTTGAACTGCTAGTGAGAGTAGCCACCATTCGCAGTGGCTACCTACTATATGTTTGGGGTGTCAGACTATCAAAGTAGCAATGAACAAAGTATGAAATCATTTGGTATTTACAATTTTCACTTGCTTTCTGTTTTATTTGTCATGAACCACTGATTATCAGGAACACTTAAAAGCTTGCTTGCTTTCCCCAAACAATTCCAAGACTCTGTCTCCCTTTAAAAAATAATAATAATAAAAACCTCTTGTCATCATGTCAACTCCAATTTACAGTGGCTTCGTATGTGTTAAACTAGAACTACACTCCATAGGGTTTTCAGTGGCTGATTTCATTAGTATATCACCAGGCCTTTCTTCTGAGATGCCTCTGGATGGATTTGAACACCCCACCTTTCCATTAGTAGCTGAGTGGTTAGTCATTTAAACCAGCCAAAATTCTTTCCCTCTCTCAAGCCCAGTATGATCTTTGACTGTTAAGATGTAATTGATGAACTTCGGAAACTTGAATGGAGGAGAAAACTGATCAACTGAAAGTTGTAGTTGTCCTTGTGGCATTAACAGCAGTCAACTCCTCCCTAGGTCAGATGATCTCACATGGCTGGCGTTCCAATAGTACCATCCTAAGACTGACTCTGCTCACAGGTTGGGCGGATGGATGTGCATAGATGGGTGAGGCGACTCAATGACTTGCTGAAAGATGAACAGGTGGACTTCAGGAGGTCAAAGTGGCTACTTTGACTGGTTGACTTTGGGTTGACTTTGACTATGGCTCCTAAGTTGTCAGGGAAGTTCTGAATACCTGCCTGGGTTCCATGGCCAGCAGAGATTCTTTTCCTGGTGGGAAGAAAAGAGGTTTGGGCAGAGGCCCTAGTGCCCCAGAGGGCGATAGAGTATATGGGAAAATGACACTTTTGAAACCATTTTTAAAAGAAAACGTTATTGTCCAGAATGGGATGTTAGTGAGTACCCATATGTACATATGTGTGAGATAATCCAAGGCTGTGCTGATCAGGAAAGAAGGTGTAGACTGTGGCTGAAGCTGTGAGGGAAAGTGGCCAGGACGTGGGTATTGATGAAAACAGGGAAGCTCTCCGCGGGTCTTGGAGGAGAAGGGAGATCTCACCTGATGTGTAGAAAATAAGGGGTCACGTCATGTCTTTGATCCATCACCATGTGTATCAAAGTAACCAACCAGTAGATAGCATGAGTCCAGGGAGTCCAGGGTCTGCCCCTCTACTAAAACTCAGAGTAGGACCAGGGTGGACAGTGGGAGCAGAGCTTTCTCGATAGGGAGCAGCAGTGTTCTCTCCATAGTACAGCACAGGGCATTCGAATCCAATCCCATGTAAGTCAGGATTCTGGGGCTTCATGTTTTTAACCAGCAACCTAATTGTGGATGGTTTGTATATTATTAAAAGGAAATATTCACTGCTAGCCCTCCAATTTGAACAACCATTTTTCCACTTTCCAGGTTTTTTTGTTTTCCCCCAGCCTTTAGATTCATTCAAAGCATGCACACCTGCATTGATCAGGGACGACGGTGACATTCTTGTGGGGTTGTTTTCCTCTTCATTTGGCACAATGGCACAACCATATTGCAGCTTCATATTCCTAAAGTCATTTTAGGTGAGGCAGGAGAGTCCTTAAGTGAAATCTTCCTTTGTTTCCCATTCGTTTGCTGATGGAATTGTCCAATGTGCCTGTGTTGACAACCCCAGAATGCACACCTCCGATCTAGACATTTTCCCCAGTCACTTCTCCCCTTGGGAAAAGCTGAACACTTGTGTACATTCACTGAGTCAAAGGCAGTGAATCTTTGGGGAGGTAGAAGGTGGGGATGGAGGTCCTTGGCCAAACTGATTTCCTCTCGGGTCTTTGCCAGCTCCAGAAATGTCTGAGGAGTCTGTGCCTTTAAGAGTACCCATACATTCTGCCACTAAAACGTGTGGTATTTCAATAAAGTTAGAGGCTGGGGGGACTTCTGTTTCCGCTGACCTTCCTGACCTTCTCTTGCACAGATACCTGAGGCTGTCCAAGAACAACATCAAGACCTTGCTCAAGCTGTGCAAAGATGCAGGGATGAACGTGGACATCCACCCCCACATGATTGAAGGAGATATCAATGCTAAGATGGTGTTTGACCAAAGCCTCACCACTGCCCTCTGAATAGCCATTTCCCCTGGTGCCTTCAGGCTCCACCGGCCCACAGATACCAACCATTCGGCGACACACTACAGGTGGCTTTTCAGACTTGGTTCATTCCTTTTGAGACAGTACCGATTAGAAAACAAGGGTAGACTGCATTGATCATTGTGTTTGTGGTCATTGGTTTGTATTGCCGTTCAAGTCAGAACCAACTTCAGGTTCACTTATGAGTCTTCTCACCCAAGCCAAAAGAAGACAGCAATGGATGGGCTTCCTAGAAAGGAAGTCTGAGAAGGGTGGAGAAATGAAGGCTACTGGTCCTATGTGATGAACAGAGGGTAAACAGGCTGGAGAAGATACATTGCAGCCTTCCATGCCTCTGGGCAGAGCTTTGCTTTGTGTGGAGCTGCCCCTCTTATACATAGGTTGTGGAGGCGATAGCAGTTATTAGGGAAAGGAGAACCTTTCAACATATCTACATGGCATGGGACCTTTAGATGCTTACAACTACAGGGCTCCCGGGGGCAGCTGGAACCTCTCAGAGCTGGTAGTTCCCTCAATGTCATTGGGTTCAGGACTTCATTATTCACTTGCAGGAAAGAAGCCAGGGAGACAAGGGACCCAGTGAGTGTCACGTGGACAAGATATAGAATGATGAGGATGAGAACAGGTAGGTCCCTGAGGGACACATGGTTTGCATTCAGCTATTCACCTCAAGGTTGGCAGTTTCAACCTACCCAATGGTACTGCAGAAAACACGCCTGTCATCTGGTTCTAGAAATACTACTACCAAGAAAACCCTATGGAGCAGTTCTATTCCCCAATGCATGGGGTCACTATGAGTTTGGGTTTGGGCCTTTAGAATGAGAACAGTGTCCCCACCATGCTCGCTCATTCTGCCTTCTTGTGTGATGGAGATGCAGGAGCGTTTTTGAAAGCATGCATAGAGGCAGTCTGTTCCTCCCCATCCTGGAGCAGCTTCTAGGTGAGTATGCAACCGAGGGTCTTGTAGTCCCTGCAGCACTCCAAATCCCTACTGCTGTTCTCTGTGACTTCCAGCAAGTTACTTTACCTCTTAATTTCCTCCTCTGTAAAATAGAGCGAATAATACCTGCTTGCACATGAAGCAGTTATGAACATATAGAGCTTAATGAAAAAGTATGAGCTGTTTCCACAGTCCACTGGAGTAAACAAGGAGCAGACTTCCCAGTCCCACTTTTCCCTGAAAGGCTCCTCAGAAGTTGGTCTATCAATGCCAAACCAAACCCAACCGAGATGGAAGCTGCTGGCACCCAAAGTAAGGGCTAAGGGTTCACCCAGACTCACCTCAACCTCTCAGGGGTATCAGAGCAGAACTGTGTTCCGTAGGGTTTTTAATGACTGATTTTTTCTGGACACATCACTAGGCCTTTCTTTTGAGGTGGTTGGATGGACTCCAGACACCAGCCCAGCTCCTTCAAGTCCTCTAAACACCCACATGCCCTGATGCTGCACGGGCGTTCATCATGGGCCATCTGGAACATCAGCAGCTCGGCTCGCCTAGTCCCCTTGCTTCTGATTCTCCTTTTATCTATCGACTCGTCCATCGCGTGCTTACGGCGCTTCCACCAAGTGCCAAGTTAGAATTCCCTTTTGACACATTTTAAGGTTTTTATTTTATGTTATGTTCTTTTTGATTGAGATTTTTCGATGTTTTGTTTGGTCATTGTTGGGTTTTTGGTTTGTTTGCTTCCTGTTTGTGTTTTGTATGATTTTCTGTATAAAAATCCACGATAGGAAGATTTATAGAGATAGTAACTGGATTGATAATTGCTTAGGGGAGGGTGGAAGGAGATAGGAAGTTAACAATGAGTAGGAGAAGAAAATATTCTGAAACTGATTGTGGTGATGATTGTATGAATATTAACATGATTGAATGATATGTGAGGTATATGCCAATAAAACTATTAAAAAAGAAAATATCATGGCTTGAGCCATTGTGTTAGTCTGGGTGGACTAGTGAAACAAATTGAGAGACACTCATAAGTGTAAGAGAGAACTTTATATCAAAGAATAATTGTACATTAAGAAACCATCCCAGCCCAGTCTAGATCAAGACCATAAGTCCCATATTACCCTATATGACAATATTAGTCCATAAATTCCTCTTTAGACATATGCAGTCATACAATGATGGATCCAGTGGTGGTGGAAATATCTCAGCGCTGGCGTTGGATCTCCACGTGGCTCCTCCAGGGCTCTGGCTGCCTCAGTGTAGCTCCATGTGGCTTGTCAGCAGGAAGACCAAGCAGCAAGAGTCTCCCACCTCCAGGGAGGAATACAGGAGTTCCCAGAATCCTCAGGAGAAGGCCAACCCACATAGAGACCTCATTGGCTATGGCCTGATTGACAGGTTAGACTCCACCCCTTCACAAGTTGACAGGAGATTATGTAACTGCCACAGTCATGCATGCCTTAGTACTTAAAATCACACCTAAAATCATGGGGCAATTACATTATTGTTTAATTCTGGCTTTCCATGAATTGTTTGAATCTCCTACCTCCCCTGTTTATTTGAGGACCTTCTATTTGCCAGAAACTGTTATAACTGCTAGGGATATTATGTTGAACAACAACAAGACACTATTTTCTAAGACACTCTTCTTTCTCTCATGGAGCTTATAATTCTAGTGTGAGAGACAGATAATGTACACACCCCAGCAAAATGACGGGGTGGTAGGGAGGGGAGGGGTTGGGAGGCTGTAACTGAGGGGACAGGGAAGGCCTCTCTGAGGAAATAGTCAGCGAATGATTGAAGGACGAGAAGAGGGCAGCTAGTTTCAACAGCACGCTGATGGAGGGAAGAGCAAAATTCAAGCTGTGTTGCTGTCACTGAAAGCACGTCCCTGTGGCTGAAGTTAACTGAGAGGAGAGTTAGAACTCCATGGTCTGGAGTTTATTCCATTTGCAACAGGAAACTGTTAGAAGGTGATGGGAGGAAGGGAAGTTCGGAGGTGAAGGAATGAAATGAAGTAGAGATCACACTGGATTCTGAGAGAACAAAATATTGTGACCAGTTGAGCAGACCTTTTAGATGCGGCTGCACAACAAACTACCTCAAAATATAGTTTAAAGCATTATTGCTCCTGAGTCCAGGGATCCAGTAGACACTTATGCTGATCTGAGCTAGGTTAGGCCCATTTGTGTCTGGGGGCAGGCAGGTACAGGATGGCTTAGACTAGCTCCAATCAGCTAGCTCGCACTTCTGCTCATGGCTGGGTAGAGTTACAACGGCGAGCTGGACCCTGTAAACCCTGTGGAGGCCCAGAATCAGAACTGCCAGCCTACCGCGGTTACCCCAAAGTGAGCTCAGGTTCAGGATGGATGTGTACTGGAGGGAGGAGCTGCAGGGTCACATTGCAAAGGAATGGATCCAGGGAAGAATGAAGAGCTACAGACGTTTCAAAAAGTCTGCCACGAGAGACTATTTCTGAGTTCACAAAAGAAAAATTGAAGGCTCAAAATAAGTGATCCTCCTGGAAGCAAATCACTGAGGTTCTATATTCTATAGGGATAGCCAGCAGGATTAGTTACATGAGTGGAAGTGTGGAATGAGAGAACTGGGCCTTAGTGACTGTCTTACAATTCTCTAGAAAAACAAAATGAAGAAGATACATATATGATGTTAAAGAGTATTGATACTTGGGTTCTAGTTCGTACATGCTCAGGTTAATCCCAAACAAAATGTGTTTAAGCAGCTGCTCAGTGAGATGGATTGAATCCGTGATCTGCTTGCTCTAGGAGCCCCTATTTTAAACCTTCAATCTCTCTCTCTCGAATTCTGAAGTAGCTTCTCGCCGTAGATTAATTTTTTTAATGTCCGTAATTCTTCACTCCTCCATGGACTCCACTCCTTTGCAATGGATTGACACTGGCTACAAGGATGAGCTCAAACATAGGAATGGTGACCGTGAAAATGGTGCGGGACTTCACAGGTTTTTTTGTTCTGTTGTACAGAGGGACCTCACGAGTTAGCACCTAACAACGTATCACTGGTGTATGAAAAGGCTTCAAAACCTTCATGAGAAACTTCCAATATCTTTTTATTCCATTTTCCTATGAAATTTTTAAAGCCCTTTTGTATATGTGCATGTAATTTTTTAAAATTACCTTAAGGAATGGTGCAAGGCAGCAAAAAAAATCATCTACATTCGTCCATTTACAAAATGTTGATTGAACCAAGGAAAATCCAGGCAAAACCAAGGCTACCCATGGAGTGAGGGCAGTGTAGTGTGGGAAGGAGCTCAAGAGGAAGTAACTATGGTTTTTGTGAAAAGTCTCAGAGTTGTATATGAGGTGCCCCCTCTCCCCCCAAAAAACACATTTTTTTCAAAGCTATGTATTTAACTTTCTTTTTTACAAAACAACCTTATTGCCGTCAAAGTAATCTCCACTACCCTTAACACATTTGTCAAAGCTGCAATTCCATTCTTGGAAACATTTTTCAAACTCATCTCTTTGGATGGCTGACACCACCTCCCTCATTTTTTTCTTCACCTCTTCTATGTCATCAAATTGCTCTCCTTTCATGTCCCTCATCATTCTCAGAAACAAAGAAGAAGTTGCACAGAGTGAGGTGGGGCAGGAGAGGTATGCTGGGTTTTGCCCCAAACTGGCACACTGAGATGTCTGCGTGAGCAAATGCATTGTAGTGGTGGCAAAACCAGTCCCCTGTCTGCCACAAACCAGGCCTTTTTTGATAAAACACAGGTACGCAATCTTCTCAGAGCCTCTAAATAGAAAGCTTGATGAACAGTCTGACCTGGTGGAATGAACTCCAAATGCACTATCCATATATATATATGATCATTGTCTTGATCCTTGATTTCACTTGATGGGCTCCAAACACACTATCCATATATATATATATGATCATTGTCTTGATCTTTGATTTCACTTGATGGGCTTTCTTTGAGTGACGTGACCATGGTGTCTTCCACTGGCTTGATGTTTGTTCAGGGTCGCAAGCATAGCATTATGTCTTGTCAACAGTAATGACCTTGGGGGAAAAGTTTGGGTCACTTCAGAGCTGTTCTTTCAAAACACACCATGTTTCCGCTCCACACTCCTTTTCCTGGTCAGTCAGAACCCGAGGCACAAATTTTTCAGGGACCCTTCTCATTCCCAAATCTTCCACCAAAATTCGCTGAAACTACTTCCAAGATAATCCAGATAACTTCCCCATCTCTTCAGTAATCCACTGTCCTTCTTCGAGCATAAGTGCACAAAGTATGTCGACATTTTCATTCATTAGGGAAGACATCCTCCATCAATTGATATTTCACTTTTTTGGGAATGAGAAAACAATTGTACACTTGAGTTTTTCCCATAGTGCTGTCCTTGTAAGCTGTGTTCAACAACACAACAGGTTCTGCGGCATTTGTCCCAAGCAGGAAACAAAATTTCACAGCCACACAGTGGACTCTTAAATCGGCCATCACAAGCAAACAAGGTTCGAGTGAAACTGCATTCAGGAAAAAATTCACTGTGACCAATGAGAACCTTCCCAGGGGATGTCACTGGGTGCACTAACTCAGAGCAAGTTGCTTGTTGTTTGCCTCGCAGGGCGGGGACAGCTTACCCAGCAGAGCTTTTTTCCGTTTTTTGGTGGGGTACCCCCTCATTTGTATAATTTACGCTCTTTTATGTAGTTATATCATACTCTAATTAAGACTGTATTTGAAAAGAATATACTAACGTTTTATAACAAAGGTCTGGTTTCATTTCCTTTAAAAACAAACCAAAACACCTGTGGGAGCTTCTGAAGTGATCATTCACGTTCTCTACACCTCTGAGAAGCAGTGACTAAGCATTAATCCCTTAGGGTGGGGCCCATGAGTGTCTAGGTCCATGTAACTCCTCAGAGTTTAGCTCAGAGCATCGGTGCACCCAGTAGGCCACATGGTGGGCTTTCCTGGCCCCTGCCTGCCTAGATCGGATCTGGAGACAGATCTTGCTTCCCTTCCCTTCCTCCTCAGAGTTAATTCCTTCCTAGTACCACCAGGTGGCGCTATATAACAGCAGAAGATCATCCACCTGCTGCCCACGCAACCTGACCCAGCTGCTGGTAGAACCATCAGCCCTGCAATGGGCAGCTAGCCCCAGCAGACTCCAGCCTGAGCCCATAGTGGATGGGCATAAGGTCACTCACTCGCAGACCACCTGAGAGCTCCTACGCACATCTCTTCTTGGAGGTTCTGACTCTTTCAAAATAATGGGGGTCAAGTATCCCTTTATACCTATGTGACAGGAAAACAGGAGAAATCCGGGAAATGCCAATATTGGTACAGAAAGTAAGGAAACGTCGCATCTTACTATGGGGCGTGCACATGGTTAGTCACATACAGGCCTCCCAGGGGCAAGTCACTGCACTCCGGGGTGTGTCACAGGAGACATATTTGGGGATGTTCACTCAAGTGCAGACAGGGGAAGTGGGTACTGGGGAACCACTGTGCCTGGGATGGTAGCTATCAATTGTGGTGGGGAAAAGATGAGAAACGGGAGGAGATGTCAAAAACAATCACCCCATACAAAGTCAAAGATCCACATGCAGACGATGCATCTCTCACAGAACATACGTGCATTAGAATAGGGATGGCATGCGGGAGAGAAGAAGACAAATGTCGAAAGAAGGAGA